AAATATCTGTAAGTCAAATCACTTGTTTTAATACAGATTAGATTAGTACTAAAGTTACAAGATTGATATGAGAGACGTGATAAATGTAGTCATGACAGAAAACAATTTTTAATTTAGTAACCCCTATCAATCTAGATAGCCCATGAATATTTACCATTAATTCAGTAGGCTGGAACAGAAAAGGAAAAAAAAATAAAAGAAAACAAAAAGAAAAAAAAGAAAAAGATATTTGACCTAAACAAGGTCTGAGGAAAAAAGAGAATTCTCAGCAGTTTTACTTAGAACAGATCTTGCAAAAACTGACAAAATACGTCATTTGGTATATTGTAATAAAAAAAAAAAAACAACTTTACAAAAACTGAATGACATGCAAAAGTAGTTGCCATTATTACTATGTACTTCTCTTTGCAGAACTTACCAGTTGGATTACAGTTAAACAAGTAACTTCAAAGGCTGAAATAAAATCATTTATGGAAATTAAAAACAAATATATTTGATCACATCATACTTCACAGCAGGGATACAATTTGCAGAGGCTGAGTGAGGGCATAGTGTAAGCAAAAACAGGTTGTGTGTGCAATGAACCAAACTAAATGGTTTATATAAAAGAAACGTTGTTTCCATTAATTTTTCTGGTAATCTTATTAAAAACGCCACCTGTCCAGAACAGAATTGTCCAGGTTTTAATTCTTTTTCATATCTCAGCGTTCAAACACAAGACAGAGAAGGGATCATCTTACAGCTATTAAAATATGTCCAAAAATGCCTTATTCTGAAATCTTCACAGCTACAGCAGTTTCTCCAGCTCTATTTCAATGTCTGGTTATTATACCTTTTACTTTTTCTCTCGTTGTGCCCAAAGAACTGTCTTTCCTGATAAGCTTAAAAAAATTTTTTTTCAAAGCATGCATTGCATTTTAAGTCTCTCTTTACAAAACAGTTTCCAGTCTGTAAGACTTAAAATTCATTTATATTAAGCAAATAAAACATAAAATGCACCGTTCAAAATTCCACCACCACCCCATCAAAATCCCTTGTATGAGCCCTGAACAAGAACTTGATTTTGAATACCAGCAGAGATGAAATGGTGTCATAATCAGCATAAGTGCATGTGGGCTATTCACCTAGATCAAACACTCTGGTCATATACTCAATTAAATTTAAATCCCATTATATAATGTATACCAGCCTCATTTTATGCAATTCCCTAATTTAATGGTTTGGTATTAGCCTCCTTCGTTTTTGCACACATGAACTAATTTTCACGGTGCTCAGTCCCTCTGGGAAGTAGGTCATTAAAGTCAACTGGACAGAGACAGAAACTTAATACCTAAACAGTGTTGCAGAAGGGTCAGAGTCACAATAATAATGTAAAACAGTTTTTCACTCATCCTACTCTGCAATATTTATGAAATTTCTCCCATATATATATATATATATAACCATTAATCTTGGAGCTGACAAAATGGAACAATAATGAAAGTTTTCATCCTGTTGCAATTTGATTTGTGAAAATGAAAAAATAAATCAACAAAAAAAATCTAAATTTAAAAAATTAAAAATCGCAATTATAGCAATATTTAGCTACCAAGATACCACTTGTTTTACACTGAAGCAGTAGAATTATAATATTCATATTACCTTTCTCAATGTGTATTCTTTTTGTCTCATGTCCCACATCATGACCAGCCAGATCACCCTCCTTAGGTCCAGGCAGGACATTAGGTGACAAACCCATCAGCATTTGGTTCATAGATAGCCCGTTCTGATGGACAGCTGCTAAACACAAGCACAGGCAGAAAATCAGCCATCATATTAACATTTACTTATTCTGTTTTCCTCTTAATTATACAAAAATTCTAACAATCACAAAGCTATTTAATTAGTGCTATCAGCACCCACATTCCTGTTACTTCTAGTATAAAACAATTACATTTAAATAGAAAGATCAGTAACTTTGGATGAACTTATTTAACAAGAGTTGTTAAATCCATCTTTCTGATGGTTCTCAAAGTCCTTCATGAGTCTCAAACACACCTCAGAAACTCATATTAAGTAGTTTATATTTCTATGCTTTTATCCTGAAAAAATTATATTTTCAAGAGGTTGAAAATGCCATTTTTAGTATTTTATTTTTTATTTTTTTATATGGAACCCATATTTCTGTAGTAATCATCTTATTCTGGCTGTCACCACAAAAGATGTACTTAAGGATCAGGTGTGATGTCAACAAATCAGATAGGACAGAAAAGAATTATCTTATAAAGAAATAAGTTACTGAAGTGATCCACTACATAACTCTTATGTTCACATGGAAGAAAAAATGGTCCCACTCCTGTCTGTAAATTATAGAGTAAGCTGAACCGTACAATTTCCTTTTTTGTTAAAAAAAGAGTCATTCCTTAGCAAAAACATTAAATAGCTCTCAATTTAGTTTTTGGGGTTCCTGCTGTTTTGGATTTTTTATAAGAGAACAATAAAAAAGGTTTTTATTAGTTGTAAACAAATATACTATTCAATCAATTAAGAAATTTTTTTTAATCCACATTTGTGAGGCGTTTTTTCAGAACTTCACTTATGAAGTCTGCAGTGGGTTGATCCTGGCTGGACACCACGTGGCCCACCACAGCCACTCCATCACTCCCCCTCCTCAACTGGACAATGGAAAGAAAATATAATGAAAGGCTTGTGGGTCAAGCCTGGGGAAATAGATAGGTCACAGTATATGGGATGCCAATTTAATCTGCTCTCTGAATTGTCCAAGTGATAAGAAAACAGAATTTTCAGCTTGTCATAGTCAGGCCTCATTTCTTTTCTTTGGTAAGTCATTTTTCATCACACACTAATGAAAGATCTCTCATCTGAAGGTCAATGAAGAGTCCTGAGTCTAGAGAGAGCCTGAGAAGAAGCAGCCTAAAGGACACGTGTTGCATCTAATCAATACAGCCACCTATTTCATGGCCTTCTATGTGTGTGCCAAACCCTCCAGTTTTACCTACTGACAAATTCCACCGTGCAAAGATTATTTAAATGCACCAAAACGTGCAGCAGAGCAGTATTAAAGGCAATGGACAAATGTAATATGAATTTAAGTGCATATCCATAAAACAGTATGCATTTAAAACCTTAATTTCCATTGCTTCACTGGAATATCACAGAATTCAGAGTCTTTCCCATGTAATTTACATCCTGTATATGGAAACTTTGATAAAAATGGCATCACTCTGGGACACCACGGTTTAATTTCACTCTGTCTCCTGTGAGCTATGAGGTGATAGTATTTTTTCTATCATATTTCTCACATTACAAAATTTTCTATTTAAAAAATTTATAAAGTATGCACATTTTAAATTTATTTAACTCAATTCTTCTCTTTACTAAGCAATTCTACCACGTAAAATACTGTTCATGAAGTCAGATTCAATTTAGAAATCAAAACAGAGTAACCAGATTAAATAAAATTCAATTTATTTTAAAAATGTTTGCACTATATGTTCAGTTCTAAAACTAATCTAGCAAATTGCTTCCCCCTGCAATTCTGTATTTCATTGCTCATATCTTTATGTTTAATATGACATGATGGCAGTTTATATCAGTACCTGTTAATGTACCATCAGATATTATGATACCGTAAACTGGGGAACGTAATGTTGGGAGATGGTTATTGCAGTTGAACTTCTGAACGTGATACATATGAGATCTATTGAAGGCGAGGACATTTTGATTAGAACAACAAGCAGCACCTAATCCATGTTAACGTGGTGAGAAGGAGAAGAATGGGACCTACGGATTCTGTCTGAAGAGCTCTCGGTCCGTGCAGGAGAGCTGGACACGCTGCTGCTTCGATGGGAGGATGGATGGCTGCCAGGTCTTCGGCCCTCTTCAAGGGAAGGAGCAGGAGAAGGGCTGTCTGGAACACGTTCCTAGACCACACAAAAAGTCATTGCGAGAAAACGGCAGTGTTAAACCATGCCTCTCTTTCCAAACATCACTTCCCTAAAACGAGTCTTCCTCTTAAATTAAACCCTATCCATCCTCCTGTTGAGGCTTCCAGGATTAGCAGAGCATTCTCAAAGGAAACTTGGCAACTTTAGGACACTAGACCTTACATTTCAGCATGCAGCGTGAGCACTGCTCATCTAATTAGGCTTTTAACTGCCTTCTGGATTACTTAAAAAATAAGATGTTTGTCCTCCTTTCCTTTTTTTGTTTTGTTTTTTATTTTTTTATTAAGTTTTTGTTGGTTTTTTGTAGGGTTTTTGATTGTCTCAGGGTTTGTTTGTTTGTTTTTTATTTTCTATTTTCTTTACTCATATCATTGTGCAGTTGAATTTGAAGTATTCATTTTGGCTTACAGATGCTAGCCTTATGGGATGAGGAATTAAGTATTTCTGTAGATAAATAAAGACTAGGTACTGTTGCTTTATTTCATGTTGACTTCTACTCCACATTTTAATTCCAAAGAAGCTTCTTGAGCAATGAGATCTTATGGTGTTACAGATCATAAAGAAAATATGTATAATACACATCCTTATAGTATCTATACCAGTAACATGACTGATGTAAGTCCAAATGTCTATTTTTACCATGGAATATTAACTTGGAATGAATCACACTTTCTTGGCCCTATCACTTCAAAATGGGGAAAACCACCAAAATGGGGAAAACCACCATTCATGTTTTTCTGTCCAGGGAAAGGCCTGGTAGGGTAGCCAAGAGAACCTATGATGCACTTCAAGACATTCCTTGGTTTTGAAAATCAGAATGTAAAGTCTGTGATTATTTGAATTGCACATCTGCTATGTGAGAATTGTTAGCAGATAAATGTATCTGATATTTACCAGAAGTTCAACAAAAACAATAATGAAGGGATTTGAGTGCAGAATAGTTCTTTCTAGAAAATTTTCCCTGCAGTTTCCTTTGGACTGCTAAAAGTTCTCAAGATTCATTGCTAAATATGTGAGAATGAGGCTGTTTTAGACAGATAGTGATAAAAATAAATAAATCCTGTAGGGGAAATCTATTGGAAGGATTGAAGATGTTAAACTAGCACTTTTTGCTTGTTTTTCTCCTTTTCATAATTGAAAACTTGACTTATAATGACAAAATCAATGAGCCCAAATCACCAATCAACAAACACTGCACATATTCAACTCAATAAGAGCTTTTGGTAACAAAATAATACAATTAGTCTGTGAAAAGAAAACTTTCTGTTGCAAGTGCATTTTCCTGAATAAAGCAGTGCATTCCTCACATAGAAAAGTTCTTTTGGAGCAGTCATTATTTTATTATGCACAGTCACTAGATAAGTATTTCTCAGAATGCATTTTTTAGAAATTTTGCAACTACGGTTGCAATCCTCAACTATAGTAATTAACAGATTTGTTTCACATAAGTTTCATAAAAAAATATCTGCTGAATTTGAGATTCTGATTGCAAAGGGATTCAATGGGCATACTGATGGAGTGGGAGGAGATTTTTTAGAGCCATGTTTCAAGACATTTAAGTGGATTCCACTTTAATAGTCTTAGGTTTTTAAGTCAAAAACATTGATGAAGATAGCTTAACTGCATCATAGCTCTAGGCTTATTATGACTTTGATTGTGTTTATATGTCCATGAACTGGGTATTCAAGAGGAGGATTATAATGCAGATGTTTTCAGAATGTAGAAGATTTATTTCTTTAGATTTAGGAGGATTTAAGCATGCACAGTGTACAGATTTGATATAAATTAGAACACGGTATATTTAATCATTCATTTAAAATATAATTTCACTGTTTGGCATACAATGTATTGTTCTTAGAAGGGTTTCATTAAAATGAAATCCAGTGAGCACATAAGATTTGAATACAGAGCTGCAGAGTAAATTAATTTATTTAAACAGCTTAATTTGTTTATCCTATTTATTTATGTGTGCTTTTACAGCACGTATTATGAGATGGAGCGAGCAAAAGGAATGCACAGGACAACGAAATATAATTACTGTACAAACAAAACAGATAATGAGTTTTATTCTCATATAATGTGACATACACAAAATCCATGAGAAAACTATATATCTTGGCTTTATCAATTCATTTGTAAAATACCCTTTAATTCTAATAAAACATGGGATTGAACTATACAGAAATACAAAATAAACCAATTTAGTACCTTAACTATTTTTTTATATCCTTGCTTCATAATTCCACAATCAGCAATCTAGTCTAAAGCAAATTTTTTGTGTTTAAAAAATTCACTGCAATAATAAATGGCAATGCTACTAATAATACATTGAAATACTCTGTAGCTCTAAAAAGTCATAGTAATAAACTAATAGTGCTGGAATATCAATATGTCTTGCTTAATGGAGATTTTGTGTAGAAAATATTAATTTGGTTTGTGGCAAAATATTAACTTAAGACTCCATTTAAAATTTTTCAAAAAATGAAATGTTCAAAATAGTGTTCATCAAATAATGCAGATCAGAGCTATTTTGTCACTTCTACAGCATGCCACTTTCATACAAGTTAGTCTCCATGAAAGAACAAAGAAATAGAAGTTATGGACTTATAATCCTGGCAACAGAAATCACCTAGGATCCTGTCCACTGCCCAATATTTTTCCTAAAATTTGCCTATTCCCAGAGGCAGATATTTCTGGAGAATCTGGTGTATAACCATCTCTTGCTATTTTTTCCCTCCATTTTTTGCTTCTCTATTTCTTTCTAATGATACTCACAGGTAAAAAGTAGTATGAACCATTTAAGTAATATGCAGCAATTTAAAAATTACCAACATTTCAGAATTGTTAAGACTCAGTTAGGTATCAGAACTAGAGGCTTTACTAAGCAGTGGGCAACAAACTCTTAGGGGCCAAATTTGAAGCATTCCTTTTCTTGGTGCTCTTTTCAATCTGATCCAAATCATGAATCCTAAGCATTTGAGAATCTGGCATTTACCTCCTTCAAAAATGTTCCTACCACAAATAAATTTTCATTCTAGGGAACTCTAATGGCCTTTCTTGTACTCTTACTCCACTGACAAATTACACACCCTCAATATCAAGTCCATTTCATAAATAGCAGATTTGTTCCTGTGATATTGGGTATTTTATTTTATGCTGTAAAAAACAGGTAAAATATTTCAATATCAGAGATTTTAATACATGAGATTGAGGTTATCTCTAGAATTGAAATCTCTCCAGTTTTATTCCAAAATCACACTGTCTTGGTCTCTTCCAGTAAAATAGGAGAGCCTTAATGTATGTATCAACTTTTTTCTACATTTCTCAAATAGGCAAATACTGTAAAATCTTATTCTGAAAGTTACCTTTAAGTAATTTCTTTTTCTAAAGAATTATCTTAATACATCAGTAATGGAATTCAGAAGGCGAGAAATACTTTCTTCCCTATATCATGTCTTTGTCCTCTAACCAAGTCACAAAGTTAGTTATACAATATTAATTTCTTTTTTTGCCTGTTTTATTTCTGCTTCAGCAGCATGTTTTCACTGTTTGAAAATTGCTTCATTACTAAAAGCCTTTCTCAAAATATATCAAAACACAAAGCTGATAAAGTTTAGCTGTTGTATCACTATTGAAGACATTTCAGGTAATATATGTAGGAATAATTCTTCTTCTCCTAAGAGGACAGAAAAGTAAGTGGTATCTTCTAGGTTGTCACCACCTCAGAATATTTCCCACATATATTCTTTATTCTTTGCCATTCTTGTTCCTTAGTAAGAAAATTCTTGACCATCTCTGACAAAGTTTGAATATGTGTTCTTTCAATAACCAAGCCAGATTTGAATGCACAGTCTTCACCTCCTGCCTATTTCTCTCCTAGACGTATTTAGTCTCAGCTTTTTACTATGTTCTAGTTTACTCTGCCAAAAGACTCATCTCTTGAGTTTAGTCATCCTTTAATTTTAGTAATGGAAGAGCTCTAGACATGCAATTAAGTCTTGCTCTAGAGGTATATAATTTTTTAAACTATTCAGTTGTCTTGATCCTCTTCGGCACTGAAAAAACTCCTTCAAGAATGTTTATGTTTTAAACCATTGAAGTGCAGAGGATGAAGTAATTTATTTTCAAGGTCATACTTTTCATAGTTTAGGTAACTTATGGAATTGTTTAGGTTGGAAGAAATGTTTACAGGCCACCTAGTTTCAACCCACCTGCCACAGGCAGGGGCACTGTCCACTAGAGCAGGTGGCTCAGAGCCCCATTCAGCCTGGCCTTGAACACTGCCAGGTATGGGGCATCCACAGTATTCCTGGACAGCCTAACTTCATGCTAATAAAAGTATAAATGACACAAACTGTTTTATACAGTCGTGGGGAAAAAAAAATAATAGTAATCAGCATCAGCATCATCTTTTAATCAGGAGTGTGAGAAGACGGGTTAATGACTCAAACAGTGGTCCACTTGACCACCTAGGTGGAGATGGCACACACTTATCACTGGAGGCTACAGCTGGGTGTTGAAAAAGATAAGTAAGGAGGCTGGGAAGATGCAAATTTTGCCGATTTGCAGGTGGGTTAGGGCTTTTTTTCATGTCTATGCCCTTTTCGTAATGGCTCAGGCATGAAAACTCCCCTTTGGGAAAGTACTGGGACATTCACAGAGTCTGAAGGGATTCAGCCCTTCTGATGGGCCATAACTGACTCAGCTGTGCTGACAGGAGAGGCAGCTGTGGCATCTTGGGAGGTGTCATGGATCATGAAAGACTCCTGAAGTGTCCTGTGATCCACAGCCTTATACCATTCAGTGTGAAACTCCCCACCCTAGGAGAGGAACCTGGGCATTCCCACCTGAACCTGAGCATATATAACTGTGGAACTTGGGTGTTTTGTGGGCTTTTCCTATTCCTGACAGCTCAAGAAAACCACAATCGTTTCAGCCAACAGATACTGAAATTGCAATAATCGTCTTGTTGTGAG